TCGATCCCACTGTCCTTGTCTCCAACAAAGAGGTTAAATAACACCGGTCCCAGTACTGACTCCTGAGGAACACCACTCGTCACAGGCCTCCACGTGGACATTGAACTGTTGACCACAACTCTTTCAGTGCGACCATCCAGCCAATTCCTTATCCACCGAGTGGTCCATCCATCAAAACCATGTCTTTCCAGTTTAGAGATGAGGATGTCGTGTGGGACAGTATCAAATGCTTTGGATAAGTCCAGGTAGACAATGTCAGTTTCTCTTCCCCTATCCATCAATGCTGTAACCTCATCGTAGAAGGCCACCAAATTAGTCAGGCAGGATTTGCCCTTAGTGAAGCCATGTTGGCTGTCGTCAATCACTTCCTTATTTTCTGTGTGCCTTAGCATAGTCGCCAGGAGGATCTGCTCCATGATCTTTCTGGGCACAGAGGTGAGACTGACTGGCCTGTAGTTCCCCAGGTCTTCTTTTTTCCCCTTTTTAAAGATGGGGGCTATGTTTCCCCTTTTCCAGTCATTGGGAACTTCACCAGATTGCCACAACTTCTGAAATACGATGGATAGTGGCTTAGCAACTTCATCTGCCAGTTCCCTCAGGACCCGCGGATGCACCTTGGCTGGGTCCATGGACTTGTCCACCTTTAGGTTGAGAGTCTGATCCGAGTAATATGCTATTATAATCCATAGTGCAGTAAGGACAGTTACATTACTTTTTCTTGGCAAAGCTTACTTTTCTAGCCAAATTACAGAATCACAGAATCACAGAACTGTTTAGGTTGGAAAAAACCTTGAAGATCAATGAGTTCAACCCTTAACCTAACACCGCCAAGTCCACCACTAAACCATGTCCCTAAGCACCACATCTACATGCCTTTTTAAATACCTTCAGGGATAGTGACTCAACCACTTCCCTGGGCAGCCTGTTCCAGTGTTAAATAACCCTTTCAGTGAAGAAATTTTTCCTAACATTCAATCTAAACCTCACCTGGTGTAACTTGAGGCTACTTCCTCTTATCATTTGTTACTTGGGAAAAGAGACCAACACCTGCCTTGTTTCAATTTCAGGATATCTTTGCAATAGTCTTTCATTTGTTTGTTTTGGTTTATATAATTTTTTTAATTTATTGAATATTATTTCTTGAAGGCCTTAAATCAAGGAAAGAAATAATGATCAATTTTTTTCTTTAGTTCTCCAAAAGCTGGACAGATCATTTTCTGGAACAGTTGCTTCACATGCCATTGATTCTTCTGTTTTTCTGTTTTTGAAACTATTCCTTATTTCTAGGGTTGTTTTCCTGGTTCCAGATAAGGATGACTGGACTACAGAAGAAAGTAATTTTCCCTCTGCTGGATCCCACATGGTCATTGTAACCTTAAGGATTTTATAAAGTCTGACAGGAGAAACAATCCTTCCAAGGCTATATGCAAAGTGTTAGTCTGAAGGAACTAAAACGAGGAACTAAAACTAGAACTAAACTGAGGATTCCTCATCGCTAGCTTACAAAACATTCTTAAATATTATCATAAGCCTATTCCTATTGGTATCCATTCAGAGAAAGCCTTTCATACGTTCCAGTGCCCTTGCACAAAACCCCCCTGATGTTCAGAATACTTGAAAAAATTGTCTTCTACTGTTCAACAGCATTATTTAATAATAATTACCTGACTCTTCTCATCTGCAGTCAGTAACTTGTGAGCTGCAAATGAAGGGTCCGTGGGTTGCTAGGATCAGTTCTAACACAATATATATTCAAATTGGATTTTCTGAACTTTTTGTTCGGCATAAATCTGTAAGTGATATTCACCTTTCCTTCTGTGGGAAACATCCCACTAAAGAGTATTCACAGGAGCAAAATACAATCTGACGAGACACTGATTTACACTGTGGTTTTCAGTACATTTTAGAAGTGAATTCTCATGTTTTAAGCTTTAGAAGCTTGGTGATTTTTGATATTCTATAGTCCACATTCGAATGGGAGCATCATTTAGAAGATGTAAACTTACAGTAATGAAAGGATTTTTATGCTGCCTTAAACTAAATAATGTTGTCATAATTATAAAGGCCTCTCATAAATTATCTCTACATATTTTGTCTTATACAGCACTGCACCATTTGGTACATTCTACTTCAGAAAGGCCAGATTAATTATGTAGATGTCATGGTGTGTTTTATCTCCAACTGAAGTACTTTGTTAAGTGGGTTTTGTCACTCACTGGCTCAAGAAAACAATATTTTATTATTTTTTTTTTGTTCAGATTACCTAGCAACTTCCTGAACTCTTCGATTCCAACCTGAAATAAACCTTTTCCCTTTTCAAGGGAGATAACCCAAATATTTTCATGAGGAAATGTGTTTCATAGATTTGGAGCTTGTATATTTGTAGTTACTTGTGTAAATGGGCCCTGAGATGTCCTGAATACAGCTTTCATTATGCAGCCTCATTAACCTCTTGGGTGGGAGAATTGGTCACCACAGAATCCCAGGACTGTGGTAGAATCATAGAATCATAAAATGGTTAGGGTTGGAAGGGACCTCAAAGATCATCTAGTTCCAACCCTCCTGCCATGGGCAGGGACACCCTCCACTACACCAGGTTTCTCAAAGCCTCATCCAACCTGGCCTCGAACACTTCCAGGGATGGGGCATCCACAACTTCTCTGGGCAACCTGTTCCAGTGCCTCACCACCCTCAGAGTGAAGAATTTCTTCCTTATATCTAACCTAAATCTGCCCTCTTTCAGTTTAAAGCCATTGTCCCTTGTCTTATCGCTATATACCCTTGTAAAAAGTCCCTCTCCAGCTTTGGAATGTGATGGTATGTGATAGAAAACTCGGTCTTGCTGAAAAAAGCACAGTCCCTAGAGAAGGACTGCTAATATGTCTTACTTATATGGAAACCTCATGAGATATTATGGACAGATCCCTCTATGAATTTTTTGCTTTTTGTTGATAAGAAATATCAGCATTTCTTATTAAAAGCAGCTATTAGGAGGAATTAATATAGTTGTAGAACCAATTTTCTTTTGAAGCAGTTCTGCAACAGAGTTTTCATTCATCTTTTAATCCCCCATGACAAAAAAAAACAACCAAAACACGCTAACAAACAAAGAAACTCATAATAAAACAAAAATATGTGGAATTTTTGTAGTTATTTTCATGGACAGCTGACATAAACAAACCATGTACTAAAATCTCCATGTTGCCAGGAATCAAAAGATAGCACATTGACTATCTCCGAGTCTAAGGAGGAAGGAGCTCGAGTAGTTATTTGCAGGAAATAGATTGCAGCTATTGCCCATATGCCTGCAGCACTGTGGAAAGTGTTTGGGCAGTCTTTGTCCCCTAGAACTACAGCACAACCCTTGAGCCACATGCTGTGGCCGTAGCACAGAGGTTTTACTTCAGCAATTCAAGAACATTTCTGTTATTCAGCCTTCCTGTAGACCACAATGTCTTTGTTGTTTCAAGTATACCCTAAAGCTAACATCAGAAATCCTCTTCCAGATATGGCATGAGTTTTGTTTTGTGACCTTCGTATATAGCTTTCTAAAATGGGGGGTTAGATTTGCTTTAGATTAAACTTAAGTATTTGAGCCTTAGGCCATCCTTGCTTTGCTCTGATTGTGCTTTGCATTTTCCAGTTGTGTTTCCTCAGTTTCTTTTGCATTTCCTTTGACTTGAACATGTTGCTATGTGTGTTTACTCACAGTTTTTTTTTTCCCCAGGATTGAGCAGGGAATTAAAAAAAATATTAAAAAATGCCTATTTCTTCTTGCAGTGCACAGATTGTATTGTTCGTGGATTTTTGGTTTTCTGGGCTTTTTTTTTATTTTGGTTTGGTTTTTTTTTAAACCAAACTTCAACTGCTCGGATGACTAGGTCTCCTGATATTTTTATGCTACTATGTATGAGTCTGATGTTGGATGTTAGCCAACACTTATTACCAGTAATTTTATTGATTATTAAGTTTCCACAAATCACATTTCTTTTAAAGAGTGGATAAAGCTAATCCTTGTTTTATAATTAACATGAACATATGAGAAAGTTTTTTTGACAGCCTTTGTAGTCTGCTAACACTTGCCTTAATGAAATAAGAAAGTGTAGCCATTAATTATATCTTGCAATAAATCTTTAAGTAATATTACTGCAGTCCCTAAGGGACTTGTTCTTCAGAAAATATTAAACCTTGCATTGGTTTGGTGAGAATGAAAAGTTATTGCTGATCCTTTATCTCAAATATAATCCTGTTTCATAATGCTTTTTGAGGCATGAACCTGATATTTCCGGATTCATGTGCATCAGAACACATGCTGTGTACCATAGTGTTTTACTGTGTGACCCAGAACAGTTGATATCTGTTCTTTTTTAAACTAAACTTAGTTGCAATTGCAGGACAAAAGTACAAGAACTCTCCAATATGGTCAATTCTAGAGGGATTTAAATGTTATATTTTACTCCCTTAAAAAAAAAAAAAAAAAGAAAAGAAAGAAAGAAAAAGCTTTTAATTGACTCAGCTTTTGTTTTTCTTATGTGTTTCACCAGTTGAAAAGATACAGAGCCAGTGGGATGAAGTGCATGGACACCTCCAAAGCCGGAGACAGCAGCTTCATGACATGTTAAAGGATTCAACACAGTGGCTTGAAGCTAAACAAGAAGCTGAGCAGGTTCTTGAACAAGCAAAAGCTAAACTTGAGTCATGGAAAGAAATTTCCTACACCGTGGAAGCTCTGAAAAAGCAGAACACTGAGCTTAAGGTCACTATTGAGAATTAAAATATTTCTGCTTGAGTTAATTAGATGATTGTTAAAGTAAATGTCCTCTAACTATTGGACAATGCACATTAAAAACAACTTCTTTATCCCTTATTTCCCACCAAAAAAAAAAAAAGAAAGAAATTAATTTGCAAAGTCTAAAATGTGTGTCACATAATCCTTGAATTAAATTGGTCTTAACTTACCAGGCATAACAAATAGCTGGCAGATCTTGCAGGAAGAATACCTACCTTTTCAGCACAAGTCTTTCTCACCTCTTATGTACAACCACCTCAGCTGAGCAACTGGTACTGCTTACTGGGAAATCCTGTAGTATCGGTATATCTGTCTGCACTGATAATGGAGCTGTATAGGTTGTCTGGAAGTAGTTAAGAAAACAAAAGGGGAAATATAAAAACAAACCATAACAAGCTATATGGAGATATTTTGAAAATCAATCTCCCTGGGTTCAACCTTGGCAGGGTTATTAACTGCAAAAAAAAACCCTGAAATGGCTGCTCTTGTGATTTTAGCGTGCACTTTGTCACATCCTAGGTGCTAAAATGTGCATCTCCGTTCACTTATGTAATTGAGCTACGCCTCAAGTAGCAATGCAAATATGCCCCGACTATTGCTTCAGTTTTTAAGGTTCTTGTTATGGAAATAGTCATACTTTGGTGACATTCTTCATGAATAAATTTTGAGAACAGCTGTTTCAGATTAATAATATCTCATTTTCTGGTTGGGGAAAACAAGATTGAAACCGACCAGTTGATCAGCCTCTTAAAGTGAGTCCTGCCTCCATCCATGTTAATGTAACGTTACATTTTAGTTATTTGGGAGAATAGTTACACAAATATTTTCTGATATGTTCTCCTCTCCTGCCCACCATATTTTTTTTTTAATTCCTACCACTCAGCTGTTTGAACTTAGAAAAATCTTATTTGCACAGCTGAATGATAATGAACTATTGTGAAGGATAGTGTGGTGAGGTTCTCATCGACTAGTTTTGCTGCCAGGGAAAGGATTCGTTTAACTGCATGATTGGTCTTCAGCTATCCTCATCATCAGCCATTGCCTTTCTGATATTAAGAAGTAGATTCAAAATCTTTGGGGTTTTTTACTTCCTTTTTTGTTTTACTTGCCTATAAGAAGCATGAAAGTGTTCATCATAAGCCCATTGTTTTAGGGCTGAGAAGTGGTTAAATTTTCTCATTTAAGATTGTACCATAAGGGTCATTGCTCAGGATTATGGTAAACAAGGGCAATCACTCACTAATGTATTGGAAAGAGTTATAGATTATGTATACTACATTCATTCAACATAGAAGACTCCCATTTGTCACTGTCTTTATGTGGAGATAGAGTTCTGGCTTCTGCCCAGTGTTTAGTTTTAAAAAAATAAAAGGGCTTCAACAAAGTCAATGTCCTGGCTCTGCGAAGACTCAATTAACAAAAAAACAGTTCTGTGCAAACACAGTCTTACATCATTGTGTTGGAGTGTCTTATGTCTCAAACACAAATTACTTAACTAGGAAAATAATTGAAAATACAGTTTTAGAAATGGATTTTATGTCCACTTTTTTACAAGAATATATGAGGTTTAGATGAGGTTCATTTTAGAGTGTATGCTTTTTGAAAAAGTTATGAGTTTTTTGGATCAACATTCTCCAAGGAGTGAAATAAGAATGCGCTCTTCTCCTCCATCCCTCAAGATATAGAGAAAGTATAGTAGTATACTTATTCATAGTATGTATCTCTATGTATAAACAGAGGTTTTGAAAGGATACCTGCGGATTCTTTTCATTCCTTCTTTAAAGAGATGAAGCACTTAGGTTATCAGTATCTTCAGCCATTTCGATCACAGTCTGGATTCAATGTGGAGTGTTGTCAAGTTACAGACATTAGTCTGTATAATTTCAGTGTTACCGCTAGTCCATCTTGATTTGCTGTGCCCTAGTGATGATATGAACATCAACAAGCTGTACTGTTCCAGGATTGTTTACTCTAATTTGTTTGACTTTGCCTAGCTGTTCTCCCACAAGTCTGGAAGAAATTCACGTCTGTCTGAGAGAATGTGGGGTTCTTTTCTTTTCTTTTTTCCTTTTTGTTTTTTTTCCGGTTTATTTTGTGCCAGCCTTCCTAGAGGAATTATCTTTGTCTGCCAGTAATTCCTATTGTGTCAAATCCCTCATGAAAGCTTCTCAGATGTGACAGCATCAGCTGTTGTGTTCATGCTTGAGATAAGGGGTCATGAATTCTAAGGAAAATGCAATTCTTGACTTTAGCAGCTTTATATTTCTTCTGTATAATATTATCTAAACTGAAAAACCTAAAAATACGTCAAGTCCTCAAAATAAATGCTTTCCAGGCTTCTGTGCCAAACACATGTATTTTAATGTTGTCCCCTGAATATGTAGAGTAAGTATGCTGTCTTTTAGCTTACTGTTACACTGATGAAAATAAAGCTGTCATTTGTGTTTAGGGAAA